TCAGGGCATTGAGCTATATTTCCTCCCTCTCACAATTCCTTATGAATTTGAGGATCAGTTTTTCCACTTCTGCAAAAAGATGCTGGAATTTGAATAGTGATTACTTTTATTTTGCAGGCTGCTTTGGGTAGAATGCCATCTTAACAATATTATCTTCTAATTCATGAATATGAGGAGACGACTTTCCATTTATTTAGGTCTTTTTTAACTTCAGCAGTGTTTTATAGCTTTCAACATGTAAGTCTTCCATACCCTTGGTTAACAAATTTACTCCTAGGCATTTTATTATTTTAAATGCTACTGTAAATGGAATTATTTTCTGAGTTTTTTTTTTTTTTTTTTTTTTTAAATAATTCCTTGCTGATATATAGAAACACAACTGAGCTGGGCATGGTGGCTCACTTCTGTTATTCCAACAACTTGGGAGGCTAAGGCAGGAGGATCATAAGTTCAAGGCTAGTCTCAGCAATTTGGTGAGAACCTCTCAAAAAGAAGATATTAAAAAAAGGGCTGGGATGAAGTTCAGTGGGAATGTGCCTTGGGTTCAATCCCTAGTACTAAAACTAACAATAAACAAAAAACCCACATCCATCTTGTATCCTGAAACTTTGGTGAATTTGTCTCTTAGCTCTAGTAATTTGGTTGGGGGTGAGATTGGAGGACTGTTCCATATCTAAGATCATGTCATTTGTGAATACAGTTTTACTTTTTTGTCCATTTGGGTACGTTATTATTTTTTTTCTTGCCTAATTGCTGAGACTTCCAGGACATAATGCTGAGTAGCAGCACTGAAAATGGGAATACTGTCTTGTCCCTGAAGGTAAAGAGAATAATTTTCAGTCTTGTAACACTGAGTGTGATGTAAAACATGGACTTTTTCATACAAAAAAAAATTTTTTTGGCTGTAAGTATAGCCTAGTAGTAAAGCTCATGCCTAGCACATGCTGGGTCCTGGGTTTGATCCCTACCATAAAACAAACAAAACAACAAAAAATGGTACCAAAAAACCGTGTGTGTGTGTGTTTGTATGTGTATATTTTTTTCATGTTGAAGAAGTTCCGTTCTATTCCTAATTTGCTGTTTTTATCACGAAAGAGAATTAACATTTTCAAATGCTTTTATTTTCTGTGTTGAGGTTTTAGTTTGATTCCTTTGTTCTTATTAATGTAGCATATTATGCTAATTGGTTTTTGTATCTGACCCACACTTGCATCCCTGGGATAAATTCTTCTTGGTCATCATGTGTAATCTTCTTACTACACTGGTAGATTCAGTCTGCCAGTATTTGTCCAGGTCACCTAAAACTTTGCCTTACCCTTTATCTCCTGCTTATGTGGAGCCTTACTATTGGTAAGAGGTGCCTTTATTGGCAGGATGCCAGTAGTACTGGGAATTAAAAGCCTAGGGGTGCTCAACCTCTGAGCTATATCCTGGCCCTTTTTGTTTTACATTGAAACAAGGTCTAAGTTGCCAGGTGAGCCTTGAAATCCTCTTGCCTCAGTCTCCCAAGTTGCTGGGATTACAGATGTGTACCACTGTGCTCAGTTGGTATTTATTTTTTAAAACTCCTAACTGCCAGCTGGGTGTGGTGGCACATGCCTGTAATCCCAGCAGTTTGGGAAGCTGAGGCATAAAGATTACAAATTCCAGCCCAGCTTGGGTAACTTAGTGAGACCCTGCCTCAGAAACAAAAAAAAAAAAGAAAAGACATAAAGGACTGGGGATGTAGCTCAGTGGAAGAGTGCTGGCTAACTATGCACAAGGCCCAATATTCAATCCCCAGTACAGCAAAACAAAACAAAAAATTTAAAAAGTAGTTTGCTACTTTTTTGGTTTCAAAATTCTGATAAAATTAGTTCTTCTAAGAAGAAATTAATAATTTCAAGTCTGACAGAGACTAGTCACCTACTTTTATTCTTTTAATTTAATATCATTGTGACCTCAAGATACAAGTTTTTTGGGCTGGGGATGTGGCTCAAGCGGTAGCGGGCTCGCCTGGCTTGCGTGCGGCCTGGGTTTGATCCTCAGCACCACATACAAACAAAGATGTTGTGTCCGCCGAAAAACTGAAAAAAAAATATTGAAAATTCTCTCTCTCTCTCAAAAAAAAAAAAAAAATACAAGTTTTTTTTTTTTTTTTGTACCGGGAATTGAACCCCGAAGTACTTTACCACTGAGCCACATCTCTAGCCCTTTTTATTCTGAGACAGTGTCTCACTAAGTTGCTTAGGGCCTTGTTAATTGTTGAGGCTGACCTCAAACTTGCAATCCTTCTGCCTTAGCCTTTGGACTTGCTGGGATTATAGGGGTGTGCAACTATCCTTCCCTCCCCAAGCTCCTATAGTTTCCATAATAAAAGGGTTCACCTACCAGTATGTCAAATGTTCCTGATACAAGAGAATCTTGTATTCTTTATAGCTTCTTCCTTCCTCTTCTTCAATGACATACAACCACTGTGGCTACACCTCTACTCATAAGTGGTGGCAGAACTCAAGAGTATAGAACACTCAAATAGGAACAGTTGTGTTTACATACAGGGGTGAAAACAACTATATTTCAGTAGTATTTAGGCTCCCCTTGCCTGATACCCTTCACCCAGCAATACCACGTTCCTCCTAATGTGGAACTTGGTATTGCCTGGCAAAGGAAGGGACATTTAGATAATAAACATTTTCTAAACTCCACACCTTTTTGAAATATTTTTAGTATCACCAGCTAAGAGTATAATAAGTAGGCTAATAAGACTTTATGTATATTAAGCATACAATGTAACAAACTTCAAGAAAACAGAGGAACTATTATTCTAATAGATAATGATAACTAATCTTTTGAAAACCAGAGTTCATCTCTCATAACTGTCCTCTGTCCAACCCACTGGGCACAGCACTGTCCAATGGGAAGTCATGTAAATTATTTCAAAATTTCTATAACTACATTAAAAAAGTAAAAAAGAAACATTTTATATAAGCCAGTGTGTGTCAAAAACATCATTTTAACATTTTACCAATATAAGAAATTATTAATGATACTTTATTTTTTTTTTTAAACTAAGATTTAGAAATGTGATATTTTATACTTAAGTAGCTCATCTCAATTCAGACTAGCCAAATTTCAAGTACTCAAGAGCCTCATGTATGTATCTAGTACTTTCTTTTTTTTTTTTTTAAAGAGAGAATTTTAATATTTATTTTTTAGTTTTCGGCGGACACAACATCTTTGTTTGTATGTGGTGCTGAGGATCGAACCCGGGCCGCACGCATGCCAGGCGAGTGTGCTACCGCTTGAGCCATATCCCCAGCCCCTATCTAGTACTTTCTGTACTAGATAGTGTTACCTTTAATACCTTTAATTTGTCAGACTATTTGATCTGTGAGTATGTGTGTGGTGCGGGGGACTGAAATCAGTCTGCACATGCTAGAGAAGCACTCTACATTCCCAGCCCTTATCGGACTATTTGACACTGGAAGTGCTATCAATACCTTGTCACGTATTTCAAGAAAGCAAACTTTTCTCTGTTAAAAAAAATAGTAATCTGGGCTGGGGCTTCAGCTCAGTGATAAAGTGCTCACCTCGCTTGTGGAAGGCACTGGGTTAGATCCTCAGTACCACATAAAAATAAATGAAGATATTGTGTCCATCTACAACTAAAATAAATAAATAAACAAACAAACAAATAAATAAATGGTACTGTGTCCACCTACAATTAAAAAAATATTAAAAAAAATAGTAGTCTGGGGTGGGTTGTAGCTCAGTGGTAGAGTGCTTGCCTCCATGTGTGAGGCACTGGGTTGGAACCTCAGCACCACATAAAAATAAATAAAATAAAGGAAAAAAAATTACATAAAAGAGTAGTAATTTAAAACTCACTTCTCATGACTGGTGGAAAATATAAATTAATATAACTAATTTGGAAAACTAGTTCTATTGGTGATGTGCCTTATAAACTGGGAATTCCATTAGTATGTGCTTACCCCAATAAATTATGTATATACGTTTACTAAGACTTTAATAAGAATGTAATCGCAACACAATTTGTAATGTTAAAAATCTGCCCTCAGGGCTGGGGATGTGGCTCAAGCGGTAACGGGCTTGCCTGGCATGCACAGGGCACTGGGTTCGATTCTTAGCACCACATAAAATAAAATAAAGTTGTTGTGTCCACCAAAAACTGAAAAATAAATATTAAAAAAAAAAAATCTCTCTCTCTCCTTAAAAAAAAAAAAATGCTGCCCTCAGGGGCTGGGGATATAGCTCAGTTGGTAGAATGCTTGCTTAGCATGCACAAGGCCCTGGGTTCAGTCCTCAGCACCACCAAAACAAACAAACAAACAAAAACCACACACACACACTTTTGATTTAATTTATGTAAAGTTCAAACAAAGCAACCCCCCCCCCCAAAAATAAACAGGCAAAATGTTAAAGGAATAGTGTTTACATTTCAGTTCAGTTATTACTGATAAATTCAGTTAGTTCATATGAATACCAGCAAGAGAAGTACTACTATAAAAATAAACCATCCTGCTCCTAATGAACAACTCCTTTACAAGTAAAAATTTAGATTAAATAAAATTTAGAAGTAAGGATGACATAAAAAGAAGTGGAAGAAGAACATGGAAGAAGCTTTGAAGTGAAGTCATTCTGGGATTAGCTCCCATAGGCTTACATGAAATACAAGATTTATACAAGTAAGAATTTTTATTTTACTTTTTTTGTAGGACTCGGGATTAAACCCAAAGATGCTCTATCACTGAGTTATAACCCCAGGCCTCAAACTTATGATCCTACTGCCTTAGCTTCCCAGTGGCTGGGATTACAGGCGTCAAACAAGAGCTGTTTTTTTTTTTTTTTAGGGGAACCACTCGAAAAAGAATCAAGACCTAATCCCTCATTACTGCTATTTAAAAAAAAAAAAAATTTAAACTGGTTAAACTACTGAGAGTCTTCTTTGGAAAAAAAAAAAAAAAAAGACTAACAAGACAGAAATTATTTTTCTCACTCACCTTATAAGGGCAAGTAAATTGTCAAGAAGTTTCAGAATCTGCTCTGTGCAGGGGTTACGAAACACTGGATTTCCACTGGGTGTATAACCCACCACAAATCCCCCAGCTTTGGCCTCTTCTAGGTCAGCAGGCCAGCAAGTTCGCTTCACAACACCCAGAATGCTATACACACAAAAGCTCATCTACAGAAAAGCACAAATGAAAGGTAAACATAAGTGGGAAAGAAAAGATGAAAGTACTATTAGATACATTCAAGGCTGTGGTATAAGTGACATAGAGACCATAGAAAATAAAAGAGCCCTCTGTTTCTCTCTGTCCCCATGGGATCCCTGTCCCTTCCTTTAGGTCAAGTCCAAGAGGGGTTCTCTCTCTGGCATTTTCAGAGGCAAGGGTGCTTTTTGTAAGCTTCCCTTTCATGTCTTTTCAATGGGCTTAGTGACTATCCCACAAAATCTTGATTAGAAGGTGCCTTAGATATGCTCCAACTACCTTAATTTCATCATGTTTCTGAGCTGGTCTTGTACCCTCTAGCTTGAACGTCAGCAGTTTTTGCCTTATTCTCCCATGACAGACCTCTTTTTAACCACTTGCTAGGTTAATGAATGTGACTTGCCATAAAGGTGCCAGGAATAATGCATATTTGAATAGCAATTAACCGAAAAAAATTCGGGTTTGCATGTTAGGCTATTACTTTGAATTTTATATGTCAGAGAGCAATGGCAGGGAGGGCTCACCTTACAGAGTAATAAGTTATAACCTACTTCCTCATTATGCCTTTAGTCTTCAGAGATACTCAGAGATCCTTAAAGCAAAATAATGACTTCACAGAAAAGACTCTGCTGTGGGAACTAACTCAAGAATTTAAAACTAAAGAAGAAAAGCAGCAGCTTAGGTAAGTGGAGACACCCAGATTTCTCACCAACATAGACAAATCTATGAGAAACTTGACAACTGTTAACATCCCTATTCCTACCCATGGCCAAGCAACTTCCTGTTCCCAGCAAAGTCTTACTCGTGCACGATTCAAGCCACAGGGATCCTCCAGAGCTGGATCACAACTTTTCAGATCTGCACCCACATAGGCAATAAAAGCATCAACATCTGACAGCACTCTGAAAAGTGAAGAGGGGGAAAGAAAAGTTATATCATGATTTTAAGTAAGGACAATTTCTTCCACAAGAGCTTTAACTTTAAGGCTGGAAAACAGAATGGGTAATCAAGTGCAGTGAGTCAGGCAATCTCCAAGGATGATTTCTACCTGTGCATGTCTTCAGAAAGCCAGATGCTGGCCACCGGTGCCATCAACTCCTCTAGGAATAACTTTTGACGTTCATAGTTCTTGAATTGGTTGCTAATGAGAACCAGGGCTTCCATGAGGGCACATTTCTCCATTTGTGTCAAGAGTAGCTCATTGGACAGGAGCTGCTTCACATGGTTATAAAGCATATCAAAATTGGGCTGCAGATCACAAAGAAAAAAAGCTGGTGGTAAAGGCCTGATTTTCAGGAGAGGTTGGTCACTTTCAAGGAAGAAAGAAGGAGAACCAAGGCAGTCCCAGAAAAGTCAGGCCTATAAGGCTGTAACACAGTAATTTTGTTAGAATTTTTTCCTTTGTCTAAATACTAAGGCAATTAGGCAGAAGACAGTTCTTGTTCAAGACAATACTCAAGTATTTGGAGAACTGCACTTTCTTCCCATACTACAACTATGAAGGTAATTTGTCTTTTTATACATCAACTTTATAGTATATTAACAGGCAAAGATCAATTTGTTATGTCTATAGAGATACAATTACTGTATTAAGAAATTTCTGGAAATTTTAGGAGTAATGGTAAGTTTCTTATAGAAACCTCCCCCCAAAAGGGTTGAAACTTGCATCTGAATTCACCCAAGTTTAGGCACATCGTTGTAGTAACACATCAAATAGTAAAGAGTTGTAGATGGATGGGGATAAACTTAGTTATGCATATAGAAGAGAACCATCCATTTTGAGGGAAGGACATATTTGCATTTTTAACTCAGTTGAGAGAGGAAGAACACACCAATTCAATACTACTCCTCTATGTGAAGCTACAGTTTCTAGTTTTTCCTAGGCATTAAAAGAGCTGGGTTTACAAAAAAAATGTAACCAAACTTGACAGGCTTCAGAAGTGACTCAGTCAGGGTCAAGTGGCTTACCAACACAAGCTCAGGGTAGTCACGACACATCTTGATGATGGAGGAACAAGCATGCCTCCTCACATTCCTCACTGCCCGGGTTCTGGGGGCCTGGAGACATTCAACAAACTCAGAGCCAATTTTAATATAATTTACTGATGCTGCATAGAATCATGTGAATATCTCAGGTAAATTCATAATAAATTTTCACAACTGTAAGAGTATAATGGAGTGACATTTACAGTCACCATAAGCCCATGTTTACACAGTTTTTACTAAACTCTTCCACTTACATCAAAATCTAGACTAAGTATTAGGTATTCATAACTTAGCTTCCAAGAAGTTATAATCTGTTGGTTTAATTAATGGTCTTACCTTACTTTCTTCAACAGTTTCAAAAGTGACAGATGAAAATAGCTAAAGGGAGGAGGAAAAAAAAAAGGTCACTTGTGTTTTTTTTTTTTTAATATTTTTTTAGTTGTTAACAGACCTTCATTTTATTTATTTGTATGTGGTGCTGAGAATCAAACCTAGTGCCTCACGCATGCTAGACAAGCATGCTACTACTAAGCCACAACCCCAGCCCCATCACTTATGTTTTTGAACAGTAGATATCATAAAATTTATCAAAATCCCAGGAGTATATTCTCAGAAATAATTTGATAACAAAAAGCTTTCTATCGTGTTATGAAGCATCAGATATCCATTTTCTCAGATACCTCTGTAAGATGCTTGAGATTTACAATTTAATTATCAAACCACAAAGTAAAAGGTCATGGAATCCCAGAATAATCCATACCACCTGTCAAACAACTCAGCTATGGTGATACCTCTCGTTCCTTTTTATCAAAAATTGAGTGATCTACTCTCTGTGAGTCTATTTTATAACTTCTCATTTACTCCTTAACCTGATACAATATGGCTGGTTTGTTGGTCACTATGATGGAATTATACTCAGATGAGGGTCTCACCAAGAAACCCATTGGAGGTCTGGGGGTGTAGCTCAGTGGTAAAAGGCTTGTCTAGCACATGTGAGGCCCTCTGGGCTTGATCCCCAGCATCACACACACAGACACACCAAAAAAAAAAAAAAAAAAAAAAAAAAAGGAAAGTAAAAGGGGCTGGGTTGTGGTTCAATAGCAGAGTGCTCGCCTGGCATGCACGGGGCACTGGGTTCTATCCTCAGTACCATATAAATGTAAAATAAAGATACTGTGTCCACCTAAAAACTAAAAAATAGGTATTAAAAAAAAAAAAAAAAAGAAAGAATAGAAAGAAGAAACCCATTGGGCATTCTCCAACTCTTGAGAATTTTCTGAAGTGCTGCTGGCCTATGACACAATACTTCTTTCATTACCCTGGCTGTTTTTTTTCTTCCATGGGGACTTCTTATCACCACTGTTCCTCTTCCAATGATGGCAATGCTTAGGATTGCCCATAAATCTACATAGATCTCCTCTTTCTTAGGAATTCCCTTCTATAGTCCATTTACTGTGAGATACCTCCATCCAGATATACTACATATACTTCAAACATAGTAATTTCAAGTATCATTTTTTTTCTTCTTTACTCCTGCTCTCTTCCTGGTCCAGTATTCTCACTCAGCTATGGCTCTGCCACCCACTTAGTCATTAAACTGGAAACCAGAAAACCATCCATATTGTTCCTTCTCTCACAAATTCCCTCATCATCTGACAGCATACTCATAACCTGCTTAGGTATTATTTTCTGTTTTCCAGCATATAAGTCTATCAATTGCAATGCCATATAGATAAAACATCTGTTTATGTGTCTTTCTTCCCATAGTGCTCCTAAAGGGCAAGGCATTAGCAGTATGGCTCATTCTCAATAAATTTTTGATAAATGAATATATGACTGTTTATTAGTTTGCCTCATGTACTTTCAAAAAGTTAAAAAAATAATTAGGGGATGGGGTTGTGGCTCAGTGGTAGAGTGCTTGTCTTGAATGTGTGAGGCACTGGGATTGATTCTCAGCATCGCATATAAATAAAAAAATAAAGGTTTATCAACAACTAAAATGAATAAGATAAATAAAATTAAAAAGATAAATAGCTTAGATATGTTAAGATAAACTTTACAAAGGAGAAGGACTTTACCTTAGAGAAGACTTGGGGCAAGAACTCTGGCCTGTAGGTAACAAATGAAAAGAGTGCTGAGATGTTAGTGAGGACACAGGATAGGATGAGAGGATCCTTGGTGTCAAAGTTCAGGACCATCTGCAATAGCTCTATTCCATCATTAATAGGAATTTCCTATAAACAGACATGAAAAGGAGGTTCACGTGGCAGCCTACACTCAGAGATAACAACTTTTGCTAAATTCCCTAGTTTAAAAATACATAATATGGTTACCATATATAATTTTACATACTGCTTTTAATCCTTAAAATTCAAAGCATTAATTCCATATTACAAAATTTATGATGCTATTATGTGCCATATTAGGGATGTAGAATTTCCTATGATTAGAAATTCAAACTATTTCCAGTTCTGCACTATTGTCAACAGTACTACAATACACATCTTTTTTAGGAAAATTGTGTTTACGCTTTCAATTATTTTATTGTGCAAGACATTTTTGATGTAGGGCATGGTGGTGTACTCCTGTAATCCCAGAGGTTCGGAAGGCTAAGGAAGGAGGATCACAAGTTCAAAGCCAATCCTAGAGCAATTTAGTGAGCCCCTGTCTCAAAAAAGAGACTTTTAGCTGGGCTGGGGTTGTGGCTCAGCGGCAGAGTGCTCGTCTAGCTTGTGTGAGGCCCTGGGTTCGATCCTTAGCACCACATAAAAATAAATAAAGGTATTGTGTCCAAGTACACCTAATAAATAAATATTAAAAAAAAAAAAAAGAGAGACTTTTGGGGCTGTGATTGTTGCTCAGTGGTAGAGCACTTGTCTAGCATGTGCAAGGCACTGGGTTCAATTCTCAGCACCACATATAAATAAGTAAATAAAATAAAGGTCCATGAGTAACTAAAAAAATATATTAAAAAAAAAAGAGAGAGAGAGACTTTTGGGGATGAATGGAATTGTTGGGTCAAAGGTATATTTCAAAGAAGTTGCTTTTCTTTTTTATAGGCTTTATCAACTGATTCTTTATCCAGTGTTTATCTTTCTATTGTTCCAAGTTTACATTTTAAAGTCTGTTTCGTAAGTTTAAAAATACAAGTACTTGGGCTGTGGTTGTAGCTCAGTGGTAGAGTACTTGCCTAGCATGTGTGAGGCACTGGGTTCAATCCTCATCACTCATAAAAATAAATACATAAAATAGAGGTATTGTGTCCATCTACAACTAAAAATTAAGGGAAAAAATACATGTAGTTAAAGCCACTACTTTTTTCCTTCCTCCCAATTTAAATTCTTTCCCCAAAGTTATTTATTAACTAATCTAATCCTTCTTGTTTCTTTGGGAGCTTATATATGTTTCAAGTTGTTTCTAGATTATTTTGTCTCAACGGGTTATATTTAATGCCAGCACTATACTGCTTTATTGTAAGTTTTACATTTTACTATCTGCAGAGGCAAACTGATCATTTGCAAAATATGATTTCCTTTTCTTCACAACTATCCCCTACACCAATTGATCACTGAGGCTGCTAAAGCAAGACTCTATCCAATGTTCTCAACACCAAAAGTACAGCTACTACCTCTACGAATTAGATAAGTAGCTTTTAAAATCTTTTTAGCCAAAGAATCTCTTGGTCAAACTCTTTCACTGAAGGGTGAATGAACATGATGAAAGTTTAGCTGACATGATTTACAGTGGGGTAGAGGATTGAGAGCAGAAACTGAGCAGTCTGCAAACCACTAAACTAGCCAATACTCTACAAAGTCAGAAGTCAATAACCCCAAGATAAAATGGATCAGGTTGAGATCTGTCACTTACATACACAGGGACATATAACATATTATGCAATTTCATTAACAAATAAATGAATAACCTCATTATATACTCATCACATATCAACCTCTTTTTTTCGGGGGTACCAGGGATTGAACTCAGAGGCTCTCAACCACTAAGCCACCTCCCCAGCCCATTTAATTTTCATTTTGAGACAAGGTCTCACTAAGTTGCTTATGGACTAAACTGCTTAGGCTAGTCTTGAACTTGAAATCTTTCTGCTTCAGCCTCCCAAGTCACTGGGATTACAGGCATGTGCCACCATGTCTGGCTACTCATCTTTCTTGATTAGAAATAATTCATTGTGAACTCATTTCATATTAATGAAGAAAACAATAGGTTTTTAGAGTCAAAAAGTTTACTTTAAGTCACTGACAAGGCCAAATCCTACCACCCAGAATTCTTCTATAGAAAAAAGAGTTGAATTTTATTTGTTCTTCTACCACTTGTCCTGACTCCTACCAAATTTCTAAAATAATTTGATACTGATAATTTGCCTCCAGCCCATATCTTTCTCCTATACACAATTCATGGTGTGGGGGGGTTACTTTATGAACCAATTAGAGTCTGGTATTTTGACCAAATACCATTAATATTAAAGTTTAATGTGAACTGGGGGTGTGGATCAGTAGTATAACTACTTGCCTAGCATGCATAGTTTTGGGGTAATTGCATCTTGGTGCTTACTGTAAAATCAGCCTAGAACCAATTAGGCACCTACTCTTCTAAAATACTGCTGGTCCCTTTGTATGCTTAATACATACCAGACAAACCCTATCATTCTATTCTTTGGCCTTCAAGTAAGATCACAACCACATGTTTAGATTCATTAAAGACATCTAGCTTAAATTCCAGAAAAGGAAACAAAGCATTTCCCTTGACTTGATAATGAGCAATGAGCTTTCTTGATATGCCATACCTATTCTATCAGATAAATGCAATTGGGGCTGGGATTGTAGCTCAGTGGTAGAGTGGTTGCCTAGCATATGTGAGGCACTGAGTTCGATTCTCAGCACCATATATAAATAAAGGGTCATTGAAAAAAAAAGAAAAAAGATAAGTGCAATTCCAACCTATAAAAGGCCCCACTTAGTAGCAGAATGCAGACTCCCAATAGGGTTTCTTACCTACATGTTGGGATAAACTCTGAATGCCATGATTTCAAACTGAAGTGAATCAACATAAAAGCACATGAAGTTCATCACCCTGAGATCTAATTTGTTAATATGTTCTTAATGAGAAAAAGCATTATATTTCACCTTCCTTCATTAAGAGATATGTTCACAACTAACCTAGAAAACACCAAGATACAGGGCTGGGGACATAGCTCAGTTGGTAGAGTGCTTGCCTTACTTACACAAGGCCTGGATTCAAACCCCAATACCAAAAAAAGAAAACACTAAGATGCAATTACCCCAAAACTAGCCATGACTAATTATTTTATCTAATTAACAAGATTAACATGATATATACTGTTATCTGATTAATTATAGGTATAGCTAAGATACTGTTCTAAGAGAAGGTTGATAGATGACATGAAGTATAGAAAATTAAGCTATTTATTGTTATTCAAGGGAAAGGGACTGATAAGCCAACATGAGTATTCTGGCCTACCAGCCATAAACTGAAAAGAAAGTTTTATGATAAATATCTCAAATTATCAATTCAAAGTTTCTATCACTGGTCTCTCTGTGATAGTTATCCTATCTGTGGCTCCTGTGTCCTATTAAGCTCTACTATTCATCCCCTTTTAAAAAGAATACTAAATAGATTAAGAGATGTGAGTTTTGATCCTATCTGCCATTTATTAGCTGTTTAAACTTGAGTATGTTAGGGCCGTGATGTAGCTTAATGGCAAAGCATTTACCTTGCATTTGCAAAACCCTGGTTTGATCCCCAGTTTCAAAACAGACAAAAACAAAACAAAACAAAAAGCAAAAAGAAAACTTGAGTATGTTATTTCACCTCTCTAAATCCCAGTTTCTTCTTCTGTAAGATGAATATCCAGATTTTCCTATCCCTGATAGTTTACAAGAGATCAAACTTATGTAGTCAGCAAGGGAGTTACTTACTTCTTTCTCTAGTGTTCGAAACATCTGGTTGATCACACTTTCCAAAAAAAAAGTCATAGCTTCCCACTGCACAAATGAAGGTGAGAAGATGGAGCACAGGCCTCCTTCTCCAGTTCCAGCTGTAGAACAGGCTTTTGAAACACACATGCAAACATTTATTCAACATGGCAAGAACACAGAAGACAAAGAAAGACAACACAGCCTCAGAGACTGCTTGGTGATTTTTAAGAGTTGAAGGAACAGGGTGATCTTGGGCAAAGAAAACCATGTGTGCTAAAGGCAGAGAAGGGTCCCTAACCTGCTTATATCTGTAATCCCATCAACTCAGGAGGCTGAGGTAGGAGGCTCATAAGTTCAAGCCAGCCTCAGCAACTTAGTAAGGACAACTTAGCAAAACCTTGTCCTTTATTTTTGTAAAAAGGGCTGGGGATGTGGCTTAGTGGTTAAGCACCCCTGGGTTCAATCCCTGGTACTAAAAAACAAAAACAAAAAAAGAATAATCAGAGAAGGATCTGAATTCATCTCTATGAGCCTTGTCTGTTGAAAATATACATATAACGATTAAAAACAGTGCCTAACTCATTAGAGGCACTTAATAAATATTAATTAATGCCTCTCTATCATTTTATGGAATATTCATGAAAATCCAAATAATTAAGATATTTGTGATCATAAACAATTCTTCCCATAAGGCAATGATAGGGACATGGTTTTGTGCTAATTAAAAAAAAAAAAAGTAGTGTCAGATGAAATGTTCTCTCCTTTGAGCATTTTGATTTGCTCACTCCCTAGGAATAAGAACAGCTGTCTTTTAATAGTATTAATATGCTGTTCTGACATATGACTCAGGTTTATTTCCTATGTATAGTTTTGATATAATACTTCACCAATGTTAGGAATGAAAAAACTCACGGTTCATAGATCCAGCATCAACTGAAGTTGATAGCTGATACTTTAGCCACTCCCCAGCCATCTGGAAACTAGTCTTGGGATCCAAACGACATGCCAATCTCATCACTTCTCCTTGCTGAGCTCGGGATGCTGCAAAGATAAGGACATGAATCAATAACTGGCACATAACAGTTTATTAGAACAGATGAATAAAATGTGGTGTATATATGCAATGAAATATCATTGGCATTAAAAAGAAGTACTGATACATGCTATAAGGAAGAATTTTAAAAATATTATGTTAAGGCTGGGCACAAAGGCACATGCCTGTAATTCTAGTGGCTTGGAAGGCTGAGGCAGGAGGATCTCAAGTTCAAAGCCAGCCTCAGCAACTTAGCAAGACCCTAGGCAACATAGTGAAACTGTAACTCAAAAATAAAAAAAAAATAAAGGAATGATAGTAGAATGAATTGGACATTATTAACCTATGTATGCTTGCATGATTACATGACCTGTGTAACCCTACATCATGTACTAACAGACGAATGAGAAGTTATACTCTATTTATGTATGATGTGTCAAAATGCATTCTACTGTCATATAACTAATCAGAATAAAAATAAATAAATAAAAAAGTCTGAGGATGTGGTTCAGTGCTTAAGCAGCCCCCAGGGTTCAATTCCTGGCCCCACATCCCACAAAAAAAAAAAATTGTCTTAAGTGAAAGAAGGCAGTCACCAAAGACCATATCTTATGATTCCATTTTTTTTAAAGTATTTCTTTTTAGATGTTGACGGACCTCTATTTTATTCATTTATTTATATACAGTGCTGAGAATTGAATCTAGTACCTCACACTTGCTCTAACACTAAGCCACAACCCCAGCCCACTTATGATTCCATTTATCTGAAATGTTCAGTATAGGTAAAACAAAGAAAGATTATTGGTTACACATGATTAGTAGGAATGAAGAAACTGAGAAGTAATTTTTGGTGGACAAAGGGTTTCTTTTTGGGGTAATGATAACGTCCTAAAATGAATTTGTGGTGACAGTTGCACAATTCTCACAAAAATACTAAAACCACTGAATTATATACTGTAAGTATGTGGTAAATGAATTTTATCTTAATGGTTATTTTAAAAAGAAAGAAAATTGGGCTACAAAAACCCCAGAACAGAATTATGACATTAGGATATAATGGGTTTTCCCACTCTTTCTGGGAAGGATAAAACCACATGGTAAGATGGTATTTAATTATAAATATGAAAAAAAATGTGAGGGTATCTTAAATATGGTTACTGTCCCTAAACATCAGTGTTTAAAGACTACATATCTATATGTTTGTGGGATGGAACACATACTATGCCTTGGATGCAGTCCCAGAATCCTGCAAAGGGAAACCAGACAACGCTGCTGTCCAGATTTAGGGATCTTTTTATTTTTTGGTATCAGGTTGAACTCAGGGGCTCTTGACCACTGAATCACATCCCCAGGCCTATTTTGTTTGTTTTGTTTTGTGGTGCTGGGGATCGAACCCAGGGTGTTGTGCATGCAAGGCAAGCACTCTACCAACTGAGCTATATCCCCAGCCACCACCACTCCCGCCCTATTTTGTATTTTATTTAGAGACAGGGTCTCACTGAGTTGCTTGGCACCTCACTTTTGCTGAGACTGGCTTTGAACTCACAATCCTCCTGCCTCAGCTTCCTGAGCCGCTGGGATTACAGACAAGTCCTACTGCACTGGGCCAGATTTGGGGATCTTTGATCAGAACCCCAACTGACATGAACCACTCTTCATAACACTAGATGCCATTCTGAGACTTTTGGGAGAAATGCCAGATTATATCACTTACAGTTGAAGAAAGCATTGAAGTCTTCATCACTATCAAAATCAAATCGAGAATATTCACAGCTAGGACTGTCTGTCTTAGAAGGAAAACCCATCTGGAAAGAGACAATTGGAGTAGGAGATGAAAATGAACCTATTAAAAGGGTGCTTAAGCTTAAGGAACTCAAGCACTTTGTGATTTAAAAATAGTTAAAGATTTGCATTAGATATTCTATGACAAATAACTGCTTCTGTTCCACTCAAAAGCCAGTTTATTCCCAGCTCTAATATTCCTCATACTGGTAGAAAAGAGAACACTTTTAGCTGATACCTTCCTTCCAAGGTCCTCAGAGAGACTCTACTTCTGAATTTTGTTTAAGGTCTATGAATACAAAGTCCCAAAATAAAGTGATAATGCAGCATGCAATAAGGAAGAATTGAGAACTATTTGCCTCATTAAATGCTAAACACTGGGAATAAATATATGGAACAACATGTGTTCCATTCAAAATAGGTTTGAAGATCATGGCAGAAAATTAGAACATAGTACATGCTAGCTAAATTCATTGAGCAATTAAGGGATGCTTCAATGGGCCCCACACTCTTGCTTTAAAATTAGGATTTAGAATCTGTAAGCTATGAGAATTCTTAGCAAACCTCAAAATTCATGAGTAACTCTATTGAAATGGACAATAACTTGTGCTTCCACTCTCACTTTCTTCTCATTTGCCTTCTTGACTCTCATTTGACCTCCAGGAACAATGTTTAGACTTTATTTCTTCTTAGAATATTCCTGACTCCACCTCCTATGTACTTCCAAAGCATTCTGCTTGTAACTTCTGAATAGCAACTATCATATTGTATGGTCACTGCTCTTGATGTAGCACCTAGCCCAATACTTGATATGTAAATGGTTAAAACAAAGAAGGGCAATCATAATAACCCATTTATGGCCTTCTTTCTTCCCAAAGAATAAAAAATATGCCCAAGGAAAGGATCTTAAGTGGTCACAAAAAGGCTGTCAATGATGCCAATCTTATAATTATGCATATTCACCTACATGCCACATGCTTAGATTCCCTTTATATATACCTTGACCAAATTAGTCATAGAAGCACGAAGATATTTCGGTATTATTGCTAACAGCAAAGGATCACGAGATAGGATCTCATGTCTGAAAAGGGCTCCCCAAGTCATCTGAGTTGAAGACCGTAGAAACTAAAGCAAAAAACAAAACAAACTCAGTTAAGATTTGGATTCTAAATAATTAAGACTATTAGCCTTGTAGTCATCATCTACATTTTTCACAAATAAATCTCTATAAGACTTTGAAACTTCCTCTACTGCAACACATCAGTAACAACTGCTCACTATGAACCACACATTAATAGGACAGGCAATGGGGTCAGGCCACTCCTTGGAGAGTGGTCTAAACTCTACTTTCTTTTTCATGAGAAAGGATACTGAAATCTGTGTGACAAAAGAAAAATTGTGAAGATGAAATTAATTTTATAACAACATAATTAAAATTTTGTGTTTAAAGTCCCTTTAACACCAAGCCACCTGGGACAAACCTCTCACTCAGCATTATCAGAATTTTACCTAAGAGAAAAAGCATATATACTCATCCTTAGGGCCTGAAGAGTCAAATTTTAAATAGGAGTTGCTATACTTAAGGGCAAAGTGCAGATTCTAGTTCAGCTAGCTAAAATTCTGAGAAATTATCTGTATAAAGTTTACCTGACTTGGGTGGGTTGTAAAAGCAAGAAAAGATTCCAGATATTTTCCAAAATTCACTGGTGTTTCTACATCAGAATCTATGCCCTGTAGGAGAAAAAAAAACTATATTAATGATGCTGATGGGATAGAGACTGGGGAAGAGAGGAGCAGTGGAAGAGTAATAAACACAGATAACTTATATCCTCAAAAAAGTCGTGGGCTGTGGACATAGCTCAAGTGTAGAGTGCTTGCTTAGCATGTGGTGAGGCCCTGGGTTTGAACCCCAGCACCAACAAAAAGATTCAGTTTTGAAAGAACTTTGTACTTCCTTTTGGCTAAAGAAAAGCAATATTCCAAGAGAAAAAAACAAAACCCCAAAACAGAAAATCAAAAAAAAAAAAAAAAAAAAGGAAAGATACTAGCTGGGTGCTGTGGTGCATTCTTGTAATCCCAGCTACTTGGGAGGCTGAGGCAAGAGGATCACTGAGGCCATGAGTTTGAGACCAACCAGGACAACACAGTGAGACCTGTCTTAAAATAACAACCCCACCCCCCCCAAATAAAACCCCAAACCATGTTGTTGTTCAAATAGTAAACTCAAAGAAACTATTCATTTCAGAAATTACGTGAAGAAAACAAAACATATTATTTCTTTAGACCTGGCTTATTTCCATTTCTTACCTGACCTATTAAATATCCATTCAATGATATAAAAGCATAGCATTAATTGCAAATGTCTGCCCTATCTCCTAACTTGTAAGACAAAATTAAATATTCCCCTAAAGGCAGATTTTTCCAGTTTAATCAGACTTAAGTTTTCTTTTATGATCTAATAATATATCTGTTAGACTAGGAAAGGGTTTTTTAATCGATTCCATGTTTTGTGTTCTGTTAATTCAAGTAAACAGAAGTTGAATAGGTAATATGCTCAGCAAATTAACATACAAATTCACAAGAATAAAAACGTCAACTTTATAGAATAACAGACTTGCCTGTTTATTGCTAATAACTGAGACTTGTTAAAAGAAATTTCAATCATTCAAACCCTATTAAAATAATTTAAATTATATAATCATATAAAATAATCTAAAGACAATGCCCCATCAAGTTACATTAATGGAATCTGCAACCCTTTATAGAAATGTCATTTTCTAAATGCTCTTCTCAAACATTCTGAAGTTCTTCAGAAAGTAAGCAAATGCTCACCAGCAAGGCACACAGCTGATTGCCCAGTGCACACAACACCTGACAGAGTCTCTTCAGGAAGACATAGTGTTTTTCTATCAAGCCTCCTCCATCAGCAGTTCTATACAATGAAAGAACAGTGTGATTAGCTGTCAAAAGAAGCAATAGATTCCCATAAATGGAACTAACTGTGATCAGTGTCTCACCACTCAAACCAAAGTTAACAAAAACCAAACACTCAAAGACTGATGTGCAATATGGTTCAATGAAATCTCCTCCTTCACTAGATACTCTAGTTCTGGGCACCATACAGTCTTAGTATTTTGGGATGATAATGTGATCTCTGTGCATGACTAGATAAAACAAAGTAGACATTTATATGAACAGCTGCACAAAATGGCACTGTTAATACAGGTAAGACTTGGAGAGATCATCGGAGAGTATTTAACAATTCCTTCAACCACTGACAATATAAAAAGGACTATAATAAAAACCTGACTTTGTGTCTCGCTTCTCCAAATCACTTAGTTTGGGCCTAACAATCAAGTAGAATCCAAAAATAGTTTTGCTAAATAAAAAATTATAACTTATTTGCTGACAAAATATAACCTGAAATGACATAGGACTATTCAAACTAACAGCAATGAATAATAACTAATATAAACAACAGCCATTTTAGCTGACTCCTACAGGCATTAGAGTATAATACAGATCACATGAGCCTCAGGATAAATAGGGTTAGACTCTAGGGATGTTGGTTGTTTTTGGTTTTTGTCTTCTTTGGTACTGGGAATCTAACCCAGAAGCACTTTACCACTGAGCTACCCCAGCCCTTTATATGTTTTATTTTGAGACAGGGTCTTGCTAAGTTTCTTAGGGCCTCAATAAGTAGCTGAAGCTGGTCTTGAACTTGGGATCCTCCTCCCTAGTTGTTGGGATTACAGGTGTACGCCACCATATCTGGCTCTAGCTCTGTGATATCAAAGAGCAGTTCAGTGCTATGGCTTTAACACAAGCCGTGGAGCCTAACTGCCTGGACTGAATCATAACTTTACTACTCCCGGGTCTGATATGGTATCCACCGCATAAACAGAGGTGAGACACCCCAGTTTCTATCTCATGGTCTCTACAAAAGTACAAAATGGACCTAGAAGCAGTAACTACAGAGATTACATTAAAGATGTCTCTGTTTTTTGTTTTTTTGTTTGTTTTAATAACGGGGATTGACCACACAGCCACATCCCCAGTCCTTTTCATTTTAAGCCAGTCTTGTTAAGTTGCTGAGGCTGGCTTTGAACTTGCAATCCTCCTGCCTCAGCCTCTCAAGTCACTGGGTGTGCACCTCCATGCCTAAAGATGTGTTATTCATTTAAGTAACACGATCCCCGAAAAAACATTTGCTGTTTCCTTAGGAAAGTAAACTATGATAAATGCCATATTAGTAAGAGATATTAAGAGGGCTGGGGCTGTAGCTCAGTAGTAGAGCACTTGCCTAGCACTGTGAGGCACTGGGCTCCATCCTCAGCACTCAGCACCACATAAAAAATAAATAAACAAATAAAAAATAAAGGCATGCTGTCTATCTACAACTACAGAGAGAGAGAGAGAGAGAGAGAGAGAGAGAGAGAAGATAGTAAGAGATTTAAGTAGTACATATGTATCTCACACTTTTTCATTTGTCCTTAGGACAAAAAGTAAGTGAACAACATTTAAAAAAAAAAAGGGTGTTGCAACAACTTCAACTATTTACAACACACAGTTCTACTTGATTCCCTGGTAAGAAATTCTTAAAGGAAATGCTTAATATTTTCCAGAGCAACTAGAAGAAAATAAGCAAAATATATTATTTCAGTATGCAGCATGTATTTCATGCCCACATCTTAGTTTTTTCCTGCTGTTTCCAATAGTCTCAGCACTGACAACTTTAAGAGAATAGGAAGGGAGTGTCTGGAGTTCTCCACTCAAGGCAAGCCCTAGGATAGACTCTGGCCCCGCAGACCTGAGCATTATCAGACTTGGTCACCAAGGCTACTTGGAGGACCAGGGATCACTGGAAGCAGAAGACACAGTACAAGAGATTAGCTTTCTGGGGAGAATGGATGCTGAGTCAACGGCCACAACTTATTTCTTTCAAGAGACCTTCAAATTGATTGAACAGTCCTTTTAAGATTCTTATTTTCCTTTTTGGTACCAGGGTTTTAATCCAGAGGCTTAAAACCACTGAACCACATCCCCAGCCCTTCTTATTTTTTATTTTGAGACAGGGCCTTGCTAAGTTGCTGAGGTTGGTTTTGAACTTGCAATCCTCCTGCCTTATAGTCCCGATGTGCTGAGATTACATGTGTACACCACCATACCTGGCCGCCAAGACTGTCTTATTTTCTTATCCATAAATGCTGTTAATTCACTGCTAGTATTTACAGGAATTTAAGACATGGCCAAATAAGACATAAAAATTATAAAAACATATTGTGAGGGTCTGGGGTTGTGGCTCAGTGGTAGAGCGCTCGCCTAGCATGCACGAGGCACTGGGTTCGATCCTCAGCACCACATAAATGTAAAATAAAGATACTGTGCCCACCTAAAAATATTTTTAATAAATATATTAAAAAAAAAACATATTGTGGGGCCATGTGTATAGGTCAATGGTACAGTCTGTACTGGGCATACACTGAGTTCAAAACCAAAATAAATAAGTAAAACAAAACACTACAACACACTGAAAGATAAAGATACTCACTGTGCAGCAGAGAGTATATAATGCATGGCAACATCTCCAAATAAGACCATCAAGGGCTTCCGGTCCTCTAATTTTCCCTAGACCCAATTTTAGGGAAACACAGTCATACATTTTATATTACCAAAAGTCTCAAAGTACTAACGTCTTCTATATCTATACAATCAAATACACTAACTTTATAATTTATTATATACCCAGGGCTTGCTGAACACTAGAAAAAAAAGAAAGCCAACTCTTTCAAACCAAATCTGGATAAGACTTATAATTTTAAATGTTGGGAAAGAATGCTGATACAACATTTAAGTAAATTATATACACAGAGAATATTCCTATGGAGAAGAGCCACAGTCTCATTTTTTAGCCAAGAAAAATTAAAGCCAGTCTTTGACTTAACAGTAAATGAATGAGCTTTACACTTTTAAGTCTTTCTGTTATAACATGCAATTAAACACATACATACCCTAACTCAGAAACTAAAGGTTAAAGTCAGTTGGAAGTAACAACTTACTTTTCTGCTGACTGCAATGAGAAGACACTCAGCGGCTCCTAACTGAAGTTCCTGTTCATTCAGAAGCAGGCAGAGTATCACCAGGAGTTTACAGTTTTCAGCAGTAATGTGACTCATAGACACCCAGTCAATGTAGCCTGCTAGAGTATTCAGTGCTGCAACTCCTACCCGACAATTTGCTTGAGCCTGTGTGAAAAGAAATCACTTTTGACTACGAATCCCAACAGATAAGAATGCTATGGTTGGGCTGGGGCTGTATCAGTGGTGGAGTTCTTGCCTAGCATGCATGAGGCCCTGGGTTTGATCCTTAGCATCACATAAAAATAAACAAATAAAATAAAGGCATTCTGTCCATCTTCAACTATAATTTTTTAAAAATAAAAATACTGTCGTTATAACTGAACAATGTACTCATGTTAACAGATGCTGTTTGAGAACTCAAAAAGATTTTCTTCTGATATACAACCACTTCTCAATGGCTTTCTCAGAATCCATCAATAAGATCATACTGGTCTGTGTGGCCATTTTATCTTTTTTTAAGAATTTTAACTTTACCTCCCCTTTCACTACAGCTCAGTAATCAAAAAGACCAAAGGTCACTAGGTCTATGCATCCCCACACTTGAAAGCCTAAAAGAAATCTTCCAACTCCATAAAGAGCTCTTACCTTTGACTCCTGAGAAGTATCTGCCTTCTGAAAGAAAAAAAATCCAATGTATTTAGTAAATAAAAGGCTACATAATAACTTTCCACTCCTATAATTAAGGGTCTTGAAAAATAATTGTTAATTACAGACGCAACTTTTAGAGGGCTAGAGGTTTAGTTCAATGGTTGCCTAGTACAAGGTCCTAGATTCAATTTTCAGCACTGCAAAAACAAACAGATGCAACGCTTTCTTTTAAAGATCATTTTTAAAATTGGTGCATTATAATTACTCATTATCAGATACAATCTTTAACCTTAGGGAAGAAACAAAATTAAATGAATACATTTAATACATTAAAATTAAATGAATAATCCCACTGGCTCAGGAGGCTTACGTAGGAGGATTGCAAGTTTGGGGCCAGCCTCAGTAACTTAGAGATCCTGTCTCAAAATAAAAAAAATAAAAACAAAAAGGGCTGGAGATGTAGCTTAGAGCCTAGTATGTATGTGTGAGCCCCTAGGTTCTATCCCGTCCTAAAATAATATTAAAATAAATACAACATAGGACCCATGTATATGTGAACATAACTACACAAAAATAAGCAAAAATGTTAAATGCTATATATACCAAAATAATGGCTGTTCAATACAAATACAAATACAGATTTTTATCTTAATATTTCAAATTCCATTAAAATGCTACATGTGGCTGGGGTTGTAACTCAATGGTGAAACACTTGCCTGGGTTTAAACCTCAGCACCACATAAAAATAAATAAAGGTATTGTGTTCATCTACAACTAAAAAAAAAAAAATTAAAAATTAAAAAAGCTACATTCATAAATCTGAAGTATCTAAAATTATATTTTCCTAAGAAACTTCTGAAAGTAAAATTAAAAATAACTCCTGAAGACAATTAGAGAAATACAAGCAGGAATAACAATTCTGCAGTACCTGAAAGTTATCATCATTGGGATCAAGAATTCGTAAAGTGACTACAACCAAGTCCAACAAACCCTTCACACTCCAATAAATCCTTCATAACTCCTGGAGCTAGTGGAGGAGCCAGGGTGATGAAATAGGGGGAGAGCCTATTCAAACCACATTTGTTTAGCATTTAATCTACTCCACAATCAGGAAAGTGAAGAATGGAACTAGAGAAGGAACTAGGGTGAACAGAGAAGTTCAAGGTACAAAAGATAGCTCTTGGTATGCTCTGGTCTTACCAAGACCAAATGTGGTAGCCTGGTTTAACAAATGGAGAGGACAGGACCAAGGCAAAGAAAGTAGACCACAGTGGATGTTTCTAACTTATGCCAAGAGTCATCACCAATCAGTACTGCTGTGGCATATGCTTCATCTAGGCAATCTAATTATTCAGAATTTGAAAAACCAATAGACTGAGCTGGGTGCAATGATGCATGCTGTAATTCTAGCTACTCATAAAGCTAAAGCAGGTGGACGGCAAGTTCAAGAATAGCCTTAGCAATTTAGCGAGACCCAGTCTCAAAATAAAAAATGAAAAGGACTAAGGATGTAACTGTGGTGAAGTGCCCTGGAGCCCTGGGTTCAATTCCCAGGACCAGGGTTGGGGGGAAGAAAGGAAGAAAATCATGGACTTCACTGATTATTGTTATAGTTATAAACAGAAGACTATTTTTAATGCTATAGTGTTGTGATGCTTTTCTCATAAAATATGTGGCCATTCATCTTTAAAATACATATCACTGTCAGGCATGGTTGCTCATGCCTGTAATCCCAGGAACTGGGGAGGGTGAGGCAGGAAGAACGCAAGTTTGGGACCAGTTTCAGCAATTTAGTGACACCTTCAGCAATTAAGAGATACCTGGGGACACGGTGGGGGGGAAGCTAGGGGCTGGGGTTGTGGCTCAGTGGCAGAGTGCTCGCCTAGTGGGTGCAAGGCCCTGGGTTCAATCCTCAGCAGCACATAAAAAAAATAAATAAATAAAACAAAGGTATTGTGTCCAACTACAACTAAAATACGTGTGTGTGCGTGCGCGCGCGCATACATATATAAAAACAAAGAGAAATACCCAATATCAAAATAAAAAATAAAAAGGACTGGGGATGTAGTTCAGAGGTAAAGCATCTGTGGGTTCCATAAGAGGTGGAAAAAAAAAAAAAGGAAATTACTAAATGGTTACAGTGTAGCTCTATAGGTTCTAACTTTCCCAAGAAAATTCCTTTATTATTCTAAAATATCATCATATTACTGTTTACTATTTGGAAATTCTTTTCGGTAATAATAGAAACTGAATCCAGGGGTGGTCTATCACTGAGCTATTTCCCCAGCCCTTTTCACTGTTTTTATTTTGAAACATGTTCTCACTAATTTGCCCAGACTGGCTTCAAACTTGTGATCCTCCTGCCTCAGCCCCTGAAGTCACTGGATTATAGGACTGCACCACTGTGCCCAGCTCCAGTGTTTATAATTTCTTTATTTTCTCAGCTCATCTGATGCAAATGCTGCTATATTACAGAATTAAGCTATCTTCTTTTCTGTGGAACACTATCCTTTCTGAGCAAAAGGATTCTTCCCTAAGAAAATGTATTGACTGAAAGCCACCACTACTAACCTACTATTTCTTAAGACTATAAAAATACACCTATTTCAGGAAAAATTGTCCTGAATCCTATAATCTAATAACCCAAGTTAGGGATAAAATATATCAGAACTTCTGTCCCTTTCCCCCCCAAAAGTTGGCCCATCTCATAAAAGGTATGAGCAGCTGGGAACACTGGCGCGCTTCTATAATTCCAGCTGCTCAGGAGGCTAAAGCAGGAGGAGTGCGAGTTCAAAGCCAGACTCAGCAAAAGCAAGGCACTAAGCAATTCAGTGAGACCTCTAAATAAAACACAAAATAATTCTGGGGATGTGGCTCAGTTGTGGAGTGCCCCTGAGTTCAATCCCCAGTACCCCACCCTCCCCAAAAAGGCATGAGTAGGTTCTCCCTCTCGGACAATTTTTTCCCTTCTCTTAGGGATTATATGTCTTAAAGGAAAATGAAAAGAATACCCTGCCCCATTCCTGACATACAGGTTTGTAATGTAAATATTTTCTTTTGAAGAATCTTGGAGGGCTGGGTTGTAGCTCAGTAGTAGAGGTACCACGCACCTGTGAAGCACTGGGTTTGAGCCTCAGCACCACATAAAAAACAAAGTTATTTGTTGAGAGCCACAGCCTAAGGGGCCCCAGCAAACTTCCAGCTGCCGGCTGATGATTGGCTCACAGCGGCCCCAGCAACATCTAGCTGATTGGCTCCTCGGCCCCAGCAACATCTAGCTGATTGGCTCCTCTGCGGTGATGCTCATTGGGCTGTTTCCCTGCCCTTTCAGACCACGGAGCTGCTCATTGGGGGACTTTTTTGGCTCCGCCCACGTGACCCAGCCAATCGGCCTCAAGAGCAGGAGGATTGTGGGAGGTGGAGAGAAGCTTGTGTGGGAGAGAGAGGCTTGTGGAAAGCCGGTGGTGGCAATTGAGGCTCTGAGGGTTTTTCCTGAGAGGCTGTTTTGTTTGGCGTGTGTGGTTCTAAAAATAAAGTTAGTTTCTTTTGACAAGTGGCTCCTGATTGTGCCCAGCCAGACTGCGGCATTTGGTGGCTCGCACGGGGAGCGACTGAGGGTAAGGTAAACTGCTCGCCCCTGAGGGCAGGGCGAGAGGATGGGTAGCCATTTTAAGATTCCTCTTTTATTTTGCTTCACTTTTGTTTTAAGTTGCCTGTCCCTGGAGATGAGTGAGACGGAAGAAAAACCGCTCACATCTGAGGAGAAACTATTTACGTCTGAGGAACAGATAGGGAGAAAGGACGGATGCACATGTCAGGAGGATAGAAAGGCTATAATGACTTTTTGTTGTTCCCTTTTTATTTCATTCTGTCTCGGTTTTGTTTGGCGTCATCTTGTTGGGTTGTATTATAGTAGAAATACGGAATCAGAAATTAGTAAAAAACAAACTGAAAGAGTGTTAAGTAAATTGTTAGAGGAAGGAGGCATCTCAGTAAAATCAAGAACAATCAGGGCATACGTTGATACAATACAAAAATGTAGCCCATGGCTTTTTAAGGAGGAGTTGTTAAATATATCACAATGGAACCATCATGGTGAAGATTTAAAAAGAATAGAAAAGAAAAGCCCAGGGACTCTGCCAGTTGGCACATTGCCATTGTGGACGTTCATATCTTGTTTGCTTAGTCCAAAGCCTTCAGTTCAGACAATGGTAGAGGAAGGAGAAGACATAATGATTCAAGTAAAAGAGAAGGCCTCTCAAGCTAGTCAGACAGAGAAAGAAAGTGTAAAACAGAAAAAGCCATCAGGGGGAAAGTTACAACAGGAGACTGCTACTAACACCTTTCTATCACCAGAGGGTGTAAGTGTCCAACCAACAGCACCACCTCTACAGGAGACTGCTACTAACACCTTTCTATCACCAGAGGGCGTAAGTGTCCAACCAACAGCGCCACCTCCATATGCTGGGAGGCCCCCAACCCCCGCAGTTGATAGTTGGGATCCTCAGACAAGATCTCAAATATTAACATGCCCTGTATTTGAGGCAGGAGGGCAGCGATTTTACCAAGTTTTAAATTTCAAAACAGTGAAGCAGCTAAAAGAGGCTGTAACAACCTATGGTCCTCAAGCACCCTTCACTGTAAGCATGGTCGAATCCATTAACAACTTGAACATGACGCCAGCAGATTGGGCTAATATGTGTAAAGCTGTGCTAAATGGAGGACAATACCTGTTATGGAAGGTTGCCAATGAGGAATTTTGCAAGGAGACGGCTAGGCGAAATGCAGCAGCTGGTTATCCTCAGAGAAATCTAGATATGTTGTTAGGAAAGGGACCTTATGAGGATCAGCAGCAACAAATTGCATATGATCCTGGCGTATACGCACAAATTGCTGCAGATGCAATTAAGGCATGGAAGACTTTACAAGGACATGGAGGTTTACAAGGTCAATTATCTAAGGTAATACAAGGAGCTAATGAACCTTATGCTGAATTTGTAGATAGGCTTATTCAAACAGCTACC